ATAATATATACGTCTTTTGATTTCAACCAATCAGTGCCGACGCAACGACGTCACACACCCGACGTCACACACAACAACAGCTAGGCTAAGCTAGCCGAGACAACACTCCAAGTCGGACGGACACATTTTTCTGCCAATCTGTGTGTTTCCCTTTTTGTCCAAATATATTTTTTACGACAACGGTCTTGTCCATGGTGTCTTTTATTTGTTCCACTGGGGTTTAGCAAGTGTGTTTATAAAGAGACGAAAATCTCTACTGTTACTAGTGTTAGTGTCTCAACATTGCTACGCTCCTGAAAGCAAAACAACGAACTCAAACACGTCTTCGTTGAATGTTGTCAACTAATATCCGGATTAATTTTAGGCAAATTTTCCTCAATTCTCCGGAGAGATTTTCATAAAAATTTGAAAAACATGGAATTCCGGGAAAATCCGGAGGACTTTCATCTCTGAACACCCCACTAAGCGAATTCAAGAGTTTTTTTAGGGCCGCCAATTTTGATTTTTGGATTGAAGAGACAGCAGAAACCTTGATCAAAACATTCTATCATAATGTTTACAGTAGTTTGATGAAAAAAAAAATAAAAATTGTTTAATACCTCAAATTTCACGTCATTAAAAAAATATAAGGTTAGCTTGTTTGGATACTTCAAGTTGAGTTGTACAGACATTTGTTTAATCCACAAAGTATAGCAAGACTCAATAAAGCTGTACAAGCTACCCTGAGCCAAGTCATTTCATTCACTGTTGAATTAGTCCTTTCTTTCAAATCACAAATCAAGTTTGACATGAGGTTCTGCCTTACCTGCGCTTCAGAGAATGGTGTCTGAATGTTTTCCAGAAGACTGGCCAGGTCCTGCTCGCAGTAGCTCATCACAAGGAACAGACTAAACATGAAACCCAAAAAAGACAAACATTTTCAAGAAGGGGTGCTACATGGTATGATGGAGAGGAGCGGAATGTCTAACTTGATAATTGATGCATTTTATTTTTTTCCTTAACTTAAATTGGTGCCCTTAACCAGCGTACAGATTTGAATAACACACTACCCACACTCACAGCTGAGGTTCAGTTAATTTATTGCCTGGTATACCAGTGTGTCAGTAATGGAGTGTGTTTCATTCAAATACATTCCCGTGTTTGGTTAACATGCAGATTAAGATGCCCTGTGATGCTCGCAAATATATTTCATGACAATAAATTACTGTGGAATAATGAAGTCCAACATCTCTATTGAAGTTGTGCATTCAGAATTTGACAATAATTTGATAGGGAATTTTGCTTCTGAAGTCAAACAAAACTTAACAGCAAGACAATCAAGATGGAATCTCACTGGAATGCTACTCAACAAGCAACAAAGAATTTACTGCATATTTTGCTTTTTCTATGGCATTTTGTGGATTCCTTTCGGTTTTCTTTGGAGAGGGACTATAACGGCTGGTGTTTATTGTTCTGATGTTGTTGAGGCTGGTCACCATTTGGAAAAAGTATCCCAAAAAGAAAAAAAAAAAAAAACACCAGTCGTTATAGTCCCTCTCCAAAGTTTTGAAACAGCAAGGTCTTAACCCTTGCATTTTGTTATATCCTGAAGACGTTTGGGACGGCACGGTGGTCAACAGTTTCGCACGCCGGCCTCACAGTGCAGAGGTCAAGGATTCGATTCCGGCTCTGAGCTTCCGGTATGGAGTTTGAGTGTTCTCCCTGTCCCTGCGTGGGTTTTCTCCAGGTACTCCGGTTTCCTCCCACATTCCAAAAACCAGGCATGGCAGGTTAATGGAGCTAACCAACACAGCATCAGTACAGTGTCGATACAGTTTGTGTAATGTGCCAATTCACTCCTTGAGGTATCATCAACTCATCACTAACAATTGGGTCGGGTTTTGAGGGGGACCCACCTCTCTGAAGGCGTCTATCGACAGCGTTTCATCTTTTTAAATGGACTTTTACATTCTCCTAAATAACAATGTATAACACCATATTGTTTAAATTGTTGCCCACTCGGCATCCATTGCAGCCTGTGGTAATCCTGGAAGGGGCATTCTCCCATGTGCGGCCCCTTCTCAAGGTTTCTCATTTTTCCCCATAAGTTTTTACTTGCCCTCCTGGGGGTTAAGCTCAAGAGACGTCTTTAATATTTGTTAAATGTGGGCATGTTAAGTCCTTTGAGACATTTTGTGATGAAACGTTATATCAATAAATTTGACATAACATACTCCACTTGTTAGCTTTACAATGCTAACCTTTCAAGATGGCTGCCCACAACAACCTCCTTTAGCTCCACTATGTTGGGATGTCGGAGCCTCAGCAACAGTGTGATCTCTCTGAGGCTGCTGATAGGAATCCCTGACACACACACACACACACACACACACACACACACACACACACACACACACACACACACACACACACACACACACACAAACAAACAAACAAAAAGGCCCTATAAGTGTTAGCACGTACAAATGTGAACACTCTCCAAATTATAAACAATTTGAAAATAGTTTTGAGTTGAAAAAAGAAATGACAAAGACACCACTGACTCTGGATTTACCATCTTTTTCTTTATCCATTCGAACCTTCTTCAGTGCTACAATTTCATCAGATTTGGTGTCACGAGCACGGTCTGTAGGAAAAATGGTAGCAAGTCATTTGACAGCGGGGCTTCAAATTAGAACTGCATCTTCTTTCTCAGATATGGAAATGACTTACAAACAATGCCATAGGTTCCTTCCCCTATTCGGTTGAGCTTTTCAAAGCCTCGAACACTTCTGCACATCCCAAACTAGGGTGGGCAAAGGAAAGTTACTGTTTTGAAACCAAAGGGCCATTAACAGGCTCAGAAAACAATGGCATCCATTGAAATTTTAAACAAACAAACAAACAAAAAATTTGAAGCAATTTAAATCAAGACTACCAATAGATGAGCAACAACTATTTTGTAACTTGAAAACCATCCTCGCCTATTGGTAAATTTGGGCATAGCAATTTTTTTTAACTGTAAAACCAATATATTCTTAACTGTCAACAATAAAAACATCCATTCATCTATCATCTGAACCTCTTATCCTCACAAGGGTGGTGGGCGTGCTGGAAGATATCTCATCTGACTTCTGGTAATAAGCGGAGCACAATCAAAACGGGTTGCCAGCCACTCACAGGGCACACATAGACAAACAACCAGTCACCCTCATAATCACAACTCAGAACAATTTAGAGTGACCAATTCACCTTCCAGGCATGTCAGTTTTTAATTTTGCCGTGACGGGCTGATGTTATTTTGCGATGAATGGCTCTGATTGGTCAATCGCCTGAGCAAGGAATTCCGGGGCTTGCCGTGAATGGGTTATTTTTGCATGATGTGTAGGTTGCCATATTAGGGCCCGACTGGCTTCCACATTAACTGGCTCTCGTTTCCAGATGTGGCTGTTAGGACAAGGCCAGTCTAGTCACTTTGCATTTCCTAATCATTACTTTACCTTCACTTAGTTTATTCATTTTGTTTTATAGGTTAAGAACTTTGAACTTGTAGTGCCTGTTTTATATTAGTATTGTACTAACTTCATGGAATTACATTAACTGATCATAGTTCAGGGAAAAAATGGTGTATGGCTGTCAATTAGTATTGATATGTAGTGTCTATTTTTTTACTAGCATTGTACCATTTCTATGGAACTACGTTAGCTAATCTTAGATAGCAGGAAAAAGGGTGTATGGTTGTCAAACAGAGAAACATATAGGCCAAAAGCAAGAAGTAAATTGTAGATTGACGACACTTGTTAGCCAATTACATGTCAAAGAATATGTAGGGGAAAGAACTGAATGTATGACGATACTTGCTAACCAATTTGCAATGGTCTTCATGAGACTAGCAAGAATGCATGCTACATTGTATTAACGAAGCCCCATTGTGTCGGCGAAAAGTGCATGGGCAATAACCATTGCACGTGTTCAGTAAAAATACATCGGGCCGCCGAGCCGACAAAGACATGCCCCATTGTGTTGGTGAAAAGTGCATAGGCGATAACTGTTGCCCATGTTCAGTAAATTACATCGGGCTGCCAAGCCAACGAAGACACAATCAAATCTAAAGACTGTATGAATTGAGTTGCCATGACTACAAGGACACGGTAATATTTGAAACCCACATGCATTCACACAAAGGCCCGGCAGGGGCCCCCATTATATTTTAAAAATAAAAAACTATTGTGACACCATTATAATTCAGAACCAAGACATGAAGTAATTTATAGATACCATTAAAAACTAGCTAACGAAGAAGGCCACAGCCAATCAGAATCACACAACGCATTATGATACTATTAAGAGTTGATAAATGATCAAGAAACTACCCAATGAAATTAGAGGGGTAGGCCCCTCATAACGCTATAAAACCTGTGTTTAACTTCGTAGAAATTCAGAGTTTTCTGATGTGCACATCTGTACCTCTCCGGGTTTTTGATTGAATAAAACTCGTTTGTGACCAGCCTGCACCTCGGCCTCTGGACTGAGTTTGTACTTGGTTTTTTGAACGATCCCGGCATCAAGCTCAAAGAAACTTCTGGTGTATCCCCCGGTCTGCGGCTCAACAAAGGAACGTCTGTTTTCTTCCTTGTGTCGGCCCTCCTGATCCCTCGGCCGTCCGCCCGGGAAGAGGCGGAACGCCTCGGCGCGCCCCTGGTCTCCGGGAGGAGGCGTGGGTCCGGCTCCGGGCCGACACATCAAACTCATGAACACGAAGCTCATTTTTAAAATTAATTTGACCTCTTTTTATTATTACCCTCCTACTCATCCTTACCCTAAACATAACCACTTTTTTTTTTTGTGTGCGGCCCTAATCATTTTGTCAATTATTTTTGTTTCACAAGCTACATCGAAATTGTTCAACTGCATGGCTGTTCAATTCTTCAATTAATACGTGAAACAAAACGGCTCATTTACAACTCACAACTGGCCACAGGAAATTAGACATTAATTAAATAATAATAATAATGATGGATGGATGGATGGATGGATAGATAATAATAAAAAAGGTACTGAACACAACAGTATTCGAACCCGTGACGCAAAAGAATAAAGCAACACCTTTGGGACCACTCTACCTACACAGTACCTCACGAGTAGACACACTATAAGGGGTGCAGAATTTGCACGTCGGTCAGTGCGATCAGGCCAGCCTCCACTCACAAAGTTGAAATCAAGCCAGCCGCCACAACGATTATTAATATTGTGCATTACAGTAATCTGTCGCCGGCTAGCGTCGTTGGCCACCTTCAAAATACAGCCAAACCTCGGTTTTCGAACGTCTCCGTTCTCGACCAAATCGGTTTTCGACCAAACATTTCGAGTTTTTTATGCCTTGGATTACGACCGAAAATCGGTTCTCGACCAAACTGAGCACACTTGAATGCGCCACTTGACTCCTCTCGCCTTCCTAACGCAAAGAAGTGACGCTTCCTCGGGTAGACGAGGAAGTGACGCTTCCTCGTGTAGCATTCCATTGTGAGCAGACGTGTTCAATAAATATATATTTTTTAAAAAGAGCATGGTTTCGGTTTTCGAACAAATCGGTTTTCGAACAGCCTTCTGAAACGGATTATGGTCGAAAACCGAGGTATGACTGTAAAAGCTTTCCAACTAATGCATGCACGTCAGTGGTTTGGATTTAATATAATGTTATAAAATAAATTTTCAGCGGTCAGGCAGCGATGAGTTTAAAGAGATTTTGGTCTCTTTATAAACACATTGGCTAAACCCCGGTGGAACGAAGACTCTGTGGACGAGACTACTGTTGTCGTAGAAAAATATATGTATTTTTACAGAAAAAGAAAAGAAAAGAAGAGAAACATACAGATTAATGGAGAGCGTGTCCGTCTCAACTAACTTAGTTGTTGTCTCGGCTAGGCTAGCTTAGCTGTTCTCGTAGATCAAAGCTCTTTGATGTGTAATGTCCGTTGTGTCAGCACTGATTGGTTGAGCAAAAAGACGCACGCGTGCGTACATGTCCGCGCTGACGCACACACAGGAGAGAGCAGTGGATTATTGACTGCTGAGTCGCGCTTCGCTCGAGTGGCGTTGCTATAAGTTCACCCAGGGAGAATGAAAACTGTCTCAAAATAGCACAAATAAACGTACTTTAGTTGCGATAGAAACAGAAGTTAATGTTAATTCCACATCATTGACTAAAATGTTGTGTTTATTATTTTACTTTATGTGAACTTTTACAGCTGCAGCTGTTGTGAAAGCACTACATAAATCAGGATGTATTGTATTGTAAAATTACATCTGGTTTAAAAAAAAAATGAAATGTTGCATCAGATCCTAATTAAAGAATTATGGCTCGATACCCATGGTGGCTTAGTGTGCCCCAGACATGGTCTGATTGCGGGAAAAAGAAGACTGAATTTTTAAAGATTTTTTTTTTTTTTAATTCAAGTGTAAAGGTCAAAATGTCAAGATTTCAAAGGCTTTTTATTTTGAAATGCAAGATCAGATCTTAATGAAAGTGTTATGGTTGGATACTTGGGATGGCCTAATGTTCCCTAGACCTGTTCTTGTTGCGGGACAACAAAAACTGAATTGTTAATATATTTTTTTTAAATTCAGGTGTATAGTTCAAAATATCAGATTTCAGAGGCCTTTCATTTTGAAATGCAGCATCATATGCTAATGAGAGTACAGTACTGTGGTTGGATACCTGGGGTGACCTGGTGTTCCCTCTGCCTGTCTGATTCCGAAATAACGAAAATGTATTTTCAATTTCATTTTTTTTAATCAGGTTTAATTTTAATCATTCATAGAGTGAACGTTAACTTTTGTTTCTATCTCAACTTCAGAACGCTTCTTGCGTTCCCTGAGTGAACTCACCGTTACCCGACGGAGGAGACGTTATTTTATAACATTATATGAAATCCAAACCACTGACGTGCATTCATAAATTGGACAGCTCTTAAATTTGAAGTGGCCAACGCCGGCTGGCCGGCGGCAGATTACCGTAACGCACAGTATTAACAATCGTTGTGGCGGCTATCTTGACCTCAACTTTGCGAGCGAGGCTGTCCCGAAGACAGTTGGGATAGGCTCCAGCACGCCCCGCGCCCCTTGTGAGGATAGGCGAACAGAAAACGGATGGATGGAGTGGAGGTTGGCCTGTCTGGCCTGACCGCCATTGTCGTTCTCGGGGGATTCAAGGAAATCGCTGGGTGGCGAGATGCCGCTCACTGTAAAGAACCACTGCGTAAAAACATTTTCAACGCTAACACGGCACGGAGTTTTCAGTACAGCAAAAGGGACTACTAACAATTTTACTCACTATTTTCAGAGTACATATGTAAATAACTACCACTCAAGATTAAGTGAAATATCACTTATATTTGGATAGTCCAAGCATTTGTCATCACTCCGTACTTACTCTATCATTTTTGGGCACTGTGAAAACTTTGTTCTTCAGCGATTTGAGCCGTATCGGCCCCAGTTCTTCCTCTCCGGTGACGTCCATCCGACAGTGATGGGCAAAACAAACAGGGAGCTTCAACGCTTGCGTCGCGTAAGAGTGGGCGTGGAAAATGAAGTCTTGTTTCGAGGCGCGTGTCAGTGACGTTTTATCACGTGACCAGTAGACTCTGACGTCTCGTTTGAGGCTGTTTGTGTCAAGCGGGAAAAGTCACGTGACCAGGTACACCGCGTACGGTAATTGCTTTCGCTCATTCCGTGTCACAAGCGGTGTGAATCTGGCGCCCACGCAGAGTGACTCCCAGTTGACGCGTTCACCAAGAGAGAGAGAGAGAGAGAGAGAGTGTGAGAGAGAGAGAGAGAGAGAGAGAGAGAGAGCGATTGTGAGGAGTAATTGTGAGTTATTAATCTTGAGTTAGCTATGAAACAATTTGTCATTCAAGTAGTTATCCAGTCATTCATTTATAAACCCAAAGATAGAAAATGATTACATTGTCATTCACACAGTTCAGTTGTCCATAGATAAATAGTTGTGATTCAGTCAGTCAGTTTAGTTGCAGTGCAGTGTGTACAGAGTATTAGGATTAGTTTAGTTAGACATCTATTGATGGTCGGAATTTGTAGGGAAGCGAAATTACAAGCTTTCACATCAAATACAAACTACAATACTGCTCACTGTGCAGCGGGAGTCCTTAAAGAGCCAGTATGAATGAAACACAGTGGCGGTCCTTAAGGGCCAGCAAGGCCTTCTCTGCTGGCCTAAACATTCTCAGAAAAGTAAATTTACTTTTCTGAGAAAAACATAAATTTGTTATTGACATTGACATTGCACAAACACAAACAGACTTGCTGGGGTCTGTGCATGAAATTGGCAGTTTCCCCTGGCAGTTGATGTAGTCAGCTGTGCATGTGACATGGGCAATTGGAGACCGACTTGCACCCACTGCCTTTTTTGTCTGTTTTGGTAGAAGGCGGACCGGATGTCGTGTCCTCACACTCTGCACCTTTCTTCATCACGCACATCCTCATTCGCCTTTAAAAGACGTTCTCTCTCGCTTCATAGTCTGTTTTGTCTCGTTCTTAGTTCCACTTTTGTCATAGTACAGTAAAACTCCTCTACAACGAAACCTGCATGTGCGAAAATACCCCCAAGTGTGAAAAAATCTTCATGCATGAAAGCCATTCCCTCTTTTCTGCTTCCCCCTACAACGAAAAGTCCCCCTGTTGCATAACACGAAATCCTTGAGGATCACTACAACGAAAACAAGCCTACCGCAAAAGTAATCCAACCTCAGCCTGCCACCGCCACTGCTACTGCTTACCAAGGAAATGGCAACAGCAACCACCACACTGGTTTACACATGTGCAGTAGTCCAGGAAGTATTTGTTATTGTTCGCAAGTGGTTAGAAATTTCACGAGTAGTTTCAGACACAGCACGAACTTTGCATTGCTTGGTATAAAATGGCTACAAAACGGACCTTTGCAGACCAAAGCTCTTCGCAAGGAGTGAAGAAAAGAAAAGCTTTAACACTTGAAGACAGGATAAAAGTCATAAAGATGAAAGATGGAGGAAGCAAACTAAAAGACATGATGCAAGAAATTGACAGAAGTGAAAGTGAATGTTGATGGTAAATTTCGCAATTTCTTTCCCTTTTTTTCTTTCTACGTTAGCTATATGAAGTGTCAAATAAGTGTATGCTCATACTTTTGCACTATTGGAATAAAAATAAAAAGTAAACATAAATTGTGTGTGTGTGTGTGTGTGTGTGTGTGTGTGTGTGTGTGTGTGTGTGTGTGTGTGTGTGTGTGTGTTTACGTCTTAGATAAAATTTGCTGTTGTGAAAAGTCCCCTGTTGTGAAAAATTTCTGGCTGCACACATGATTTCATTGTAGAGGAGTTCTACTGTAAGTGTTTATTATCCGGTGCTATTCTCGGTTTCGTCATTTTTGGTATGGGATTTCGCTTGCCCTTTTGAGACAAGCACTTTAGGTTCTCGTTTTTTTTTTCCTTTGCCATTTGCAAGCGGTTTTATTTATTGCGTTTTCTCCTGGTTCATTGTTACCAATGTCATTGTTAGTCCTTTGTCGGTTTTGCTTTGTACTTTAATAAATTTGTGTCAATTGGTCTACGTTTGTGGGGTGCACTCTGATTCCGGAGTTCGTATCACCCATTACAGTACCGTGCTTCCGGGTGCGACCGCCCCCACACACACACACCAACTGGGGTGCCATTAAAATATTTTTAAGGTGATAATTATTATAATTTGTTCATCGAAGTAGGAGTGGTCAGTACTCAGGAGTACTGCGCTCTGACCACCCCAATTTAAATGCAAATGAGGAATGCCACAAGGATTGGCCGGGAATAAGCTACTTCCATCCCACAATGGCGCACAAAGGCTATGTTCAGACTGCAGGTTTTAAAACTCAATTCATGTTTTGTGTAATCCTTCACATTGCATATTATTTGCAACCTCGGTCAGTCTGGTGTGAACCACATGCTCCCTGTGTCACGTTGCGTACAAGGCAGGAAAAAAGAACTGCTTCGTATGCAACAGAGCGAATGAGAATAAGTGGATCCCCGAAGTAGCAGACACTGACAAGGCCTTCGTCTCAAAAATAATATTTATTACAAACGAAAACTCCGTCTAATGGAAAACAGAAAACGCTGGTCAAAACAAGAACCAGGAAATAATGTAACGCGAAAAAACAAAGCGCTTGCAAAAAACGGCAAGGAAAAAGATAAGACAATTTACTAGGTCAAGTATGCGTTCTTAATAATCCCAATGGGATGACGAAAGTGTAGCAAACAACAATTAAATACGAATAAGGTTTACGAGCATGGGCAATAACAGTGGCACGGCATGCAATACTCCGGCAATGAGTCGGAAGCCGGAGTGTTGAGGATTTATGTTGTGTAGCGCTCTTCCTCGCTGATTTTGTTCTGAAGGGACATGCCGGATGTATATATGAGATCACTTCCGCCTTCCTGGTTCGCTGACGCATACTCATGGCCACAGCTCGTATTACGCCGCGCTGCCGAGTTGACCTAACCCAAGAGAATAAATATGCCTGAAGTGATCATCTGAACGTGTCTTATTGCACGAGTATACCGGCCACTCTGTCGTGATACGCACCGCCTCCTCAACACGGAGTGCTTAGATATAGCATGTGTAATCATTGACAAATAGGCAGCAGGTGTGCAGGCAGCAGAATGAACGCCTGCCACCTGCTGCCAAATACAGAACATGACACCCTGAAGAAAAAGACATCGTCACTCACAATGTAGTCTAAGTAAATATGCTCCAGCATTTTAGGAGCTAATGTTTTTGTCATCTCATATCTTCAGAGGAATGATGCATGAGAAGGTAGAAATATTTTGGGAAAATGAGGAAAGGCTTTTCGAGATCCTAATTACTTGGAAACCTCTACTAAAGACGACGTCACATTATTGTCATGTGTCATGAATGAACTGTCTGTGTGACTGAATTACTGCTATCACCACAAATGTCCATTTTATGTTTTCTGTCTCAAGTGGGATTTAATTAATGTCAAACATAAAGTCAACACTGTTACCCATAATATCTTTGCAGATTCACAGACAATTGTCAATCTCCCCTACCAAGCCATCTATCAACTGAGCCAGTGAGGAGTGCATATCGGACTTTTAATGATGTATAGGTTGGATATTTGCAACCTGTCCATTCAGACTGCAGTCGCGTTGCAACAGGTATCTATGTATGTATGTATGTATGTATGTGTATGATGTATGTGTGTGTGTGTGTATATATATATATATATATATATATATATATATATATTTTTTTTTTTTAAATGTGTGTGTGTGTGTGTGTACACACACACACACACACATAAAACAAATAGGTTTGTGCTCACTGTCAGTGGCACGTTCATCCATCCATCCATTTTCAACACTGAATGTGTTCACGTTCCTGGGTAAATAGAAGCCAATCCTATCTGAATTTAGGCAAGTGGTGGACTTCACCCTGGGCTGGCCACCAGTCAATTACAGGGCACATATAGAGATACGAAAAGGGAAATGAACCTATGCTGCTCAGACGGAAGTCAAGGGAGTGAACCACAACACCATCAGTGACACCAGTGGTAAGCCTTTTAATCACTTTCGCTTCATGAATTTTTTGCCAACAACAATGGCTGCTGAGGGGGGCCTTCGCTCTTTTACAGCATCAGCTATAGTGAAGTTAGATGAGGAGGCATAGATGTCATCTTGTGATGGAGCAGTGATGAGAATGGCAGGAGGATGTGACACAGAGTCAAAATCTGAGGACTCACTTTGGGGCTTTGAGGATGAGGGCATCTCTGAAACAAAGAGGCATACATTTAATGCCCTCAAACACCAAAGGAAAATGCAACATTTTGCAGAATAAAGTACCGGTAATTGATCTAACTTTATTTGATTACCAAACATCAATGTCTGTCTTTATAATTTCAATATCATCGTATTATCATTGTTAATATCTATCACTGGAGTTGGGCTGAAACTTCAGACATCAAAACTTGGTAAATGTGATATTTTTTTAACAAAACTTTACAATTGGACAATATACACAGATGCTATTTTTACATATCATTACACCAACCTAAAGTGTGGAAAATGGCTTGCTCTCTTTGTTGCAATGTTTATGTTCGAATAAACATCCCTTTTTTGGTCTCAGGAAAAGTGGAGGGACAAAGATTCTTTTTGACACCAATGATATGCCGGGTATTTCATAAGTCTATGTCACTTGACAAAAACTCATATCCTAGGAATCAGCAAGGTAGTAAGCCCGTTTGGTTGGAAAAGTAAGTTTTCTGCTGCGATGATCTTCTCAGGCAATTGTTACATCACAAATCGATGTTTTTAATATTTGTGTAAAACCCGAATTGCACTGATTTCTTTGCTTTTTACTGATAATTCCCTGGAAAGGAGAAGGACTTGTGTCTTGAGAGTTTGATGACAATGAGTCGTGCAGACATATTCAATTCAGATATCAGAAAGGAATTTCAAAGCATTTGGCAAGAAATGGAATACTGTTTCAATGTATGCCATGTAAACCAAGTGCTTGATGTTGAACATTTGTGAAAATTTTAATCTTCAATACAGTATTAGGTAACAAAGTCACACAGACTTAAGAGAAACCTATATTATTTATTTTATGACTAAATTGGCTAGATAATTGAGATCCTCTCACTGTCCATATTGTTACAATGGACTGATGTGCAAGTAAGGTAAAGTTCATTTTCTCATACTGTGTATGCGCGCGCGCACGCGCATACGTGTGTGCGCGCGCGTGTGTCTGTGTGTGTGTGTGTGTGTGTGTGTGTGTGTGTGTGTGTGTGTGTGTGTGTGTGTGTGTGTTGCTATTCATATCTTATGAAGAGCAGCAACAGCTTTCAAATAGGATTGTACTAATTTGTTAAGCGAGTTAGCTGTGCCACATTACACAGTATTAATACGTCGTAGACTAACAATAATGAATGTAATGATGAACAAATGTATTTATTTTCAATATGAACATGTGTTGAAAAGGAATTAACATCATACTAAACAATTTTTAAAATAATATATTTTTAATTACCTTTAATTTTGCTGAAAAAAACCCGAAAGGAAAAGTTTTCATTTCATACATAGAACCAAGTCATCACACACATTTAGACATATAAGGAATGTGTCAGAGTGAAAGGGGCGAGCAAACAGTGTTGTTAAGATGCACAATTCACTTATACTTGGTATAATGGTTGGTACAATGTAGGTTGTATAATAAATGGAATTCAAGCTGCAGTTCTAAGTAAAACATATTTCACAATTTATTACTGCTAATATTGACTCTTTGACAATACTGTATTGCAAAATCAATAAATTAAATTACTACGTACAAAGTCAAACTAAAAGAAACGAAACATTTTTTAATGTAACAGTCAATGGGTAATATTTTTTTCTAACCTGACTTTTCCTCCTGGCTTGGTCCAGACCCCATGAAGCTTCAGTTAGCAAGTGTGTGGTCCATAAATGCCCTCATTTTCATATCAACCTAAAATTAAATCACATTTAAAATTGAGTAAAAGCTGCATTAAAGAGCAAATTGGACTGTTCATGCTCGACTACATCTTCCTGTCGGTCACTGCCTATCTTATGAACACTAATCCGGTGTTCTACGAATTAGTAAGAGTGACTTGACACATTGTAATAACAGTTAAAGTGGGCCGATGACTGCCATTCATAAACTGGGGCGAGCAGAGACCTTTGGATGAAATGAAAAATCTCATTATTCTGTCTTGTTTGTTTTGGGGTTTTTTTCAGTCTCCAGCTGTAGAGTAGGTGTTCCCTCATGAGCCTCACCTGTCTCTAATCATGCCTCGTCACCAGCTGCCGTTAAAGCCTGACAACTTGCTGTCGATTATTAAGCCTTGCTCACGACTCTGTTCTCAAGTGCTTTGATTCTCAAGAGATTTTCGGTATTTTTCCTCATAGCCTTTGTCTAGTATTCCTAGTAGTTTTGCTCTGTAATTGGTCTCGGTTTAAGTTCTTTGTGTATTGGTTTCTCTTGCTTGAGTTGCCAAGCAATTTACGTTTTTCTTGCTCCTTGCCTTTTGCAAATGTTTTTGGTTTGTTCTTGCCATTTCCTTGTTCTTTGTTACCAGCATCCTTCATTGTACTTTGTCGGTCTTGTGTTTTTATAAATGAATATATTTTTGTTCATAGCCTCTTATCTCTGTCTACACTTGTGGAATCCTTGTTCTGTCCGGAAGGATTCCGGACACCTTACAAAAGCGGGGCCCATGGATCGTTTTTTTGAATTTATTTTATTGTGGAAACAATATAAATATAACATGCACAAAATGACAATTTTTGGCCATTTAATACAAATATATAGCTCCCAACTGAACAATTGGTTATGCAAATTCGGAGATCCTTTTGGGGAAATGTCGGTAGAGGGACCACCAAAAAGGTTCTTCTTGAAGGGCAGAAATTTAACTTGGAACAACTTTGGAGTGTAGAACAGGTTTGTCATCAGACTTCGGGAAATGTTGATAACGCCAGACTGCCCCAAAGTCATGAACGACACCAAAAGCATAGCGGGAGTCAGTGTAAATGGTGACAGTGCTATTCTTGGCCAAGACTCATGCCAGAGTGAGAGCCACGAGTTCTGCAGCCTGTGCTGAGTAATGAGATGGGAGAGGAGAGGACAAGATGATGGAGTGGTCATCCACCACTGCAAAACCCGCTCGAGATATGCCAGAGTCGGGGTCGTAGGAGGCAGAGCCATCAACATAGAAAACAAAGTCAGGGTTTGACAATAGAGTGTCACAGAGATCTGGGCGTGAAGAAGAAATCTGCTGGAGTTCGGCCATACAGGAATGAGGCTCTCCATCATCTGGAAGAGGAAGGAGAGTAACGGGGGTTAAGAGAGGAGCACTTTTTGACGGACACATTTGGGAGGCCCAAGAGAGTGGTATGGTATCACAGCCAGCAAGCAGCAGACAGATGACCAGACCACTGTTCTTGGAGGATGGAAGCCACAGAATGGGGAAGAAACAGAGTGAGAGGAGAGAAACCGGCAAAGTCCCAGGAGGAGTGAACGGCCAACTCACAAGTGGCCACAGCACGGAGAGATGCTTGGACGCCCCGAGCGACTGGGGCCTCCAAGGGGCAAATCTTGGAAAAGTACTCAATAGGGCGAAGGGCACCCCCATGGGGTTGGAGCAGAACAGACGTCATGCACCCAAACAATTCGTCCACAAACTGGACAAAAGGCTTGGAAGTATCCGGAATCCCAAGTGTGGGTGGTGGTCGAAACTAAAGTTTGCAGGTAGAATTTGGGATTAGTCTCAAATACAGCACAAAGTAAATAGCTTGGACTGCATCTGTTCAAGTCTGTTAAAAAACAAAAAAATCCATCACTTGGTATCGCAACATCCACTACAACGGCTTTCCTCTGCCCTTTATCTATGATCACGATATCTGGTTGGTTCGCCATTGCCGTCTTGTCAGTCTGATTCTGGAAGTCCCACAGGATCTTCGCTTGGTCATTCTCCACCACCTTTGGAGGTGTTTCCCATTTTGACCTTGGGGTTTCCAGTCCATACTCCGCACAGATGTTTCGGTAGACTATGCCAGCCATCTGGTTATGGCGTTCCATGTAAGCTTTCCCTGCCAGCATCTTACAGCCTGAAGTTATGTGTTGTATCGTCTCAGGTGCCTCTTTGTACAACCTACACCTTGGGTCTTGTCTGGTGTGGCATATCTGGGCCTCTATGGCTCTGGTGCTCAGGGCCTGCTCCTGAGCAGCCAGGATGAGTGCCTCTGTGCTGTCCTTCAGGCCAACCCTCTCTAGCCACTGATAGGACTTCTTGAGATCAGCCACTTCCGTTATGGTCCGGTGGTACATCCCGTGTAGGGGCTTGTCCTCCCATGATGTCCCTCTTCCAGCACCTCATCCTCTGTCCCCCAATATCTGAGACATTCTCTGAGTACGTCATCCGTTGGAGCCTTCTCCTTGATATCTTCATGGAGCTTGGATGTTTCATCCTGGACAGTGGCTCTCACACTCACTAGTCCCCAGCCTCCTTCCTTACAGCTTGTGTACAGTCTCAGGCTGCTGGATTTGGGATGAAACCCTCCTTGCATGGTGAGGAGCTTTCGGGTCTTAGCAACCGTGGTCTGAATCTCTTCCTTTGGCCACTGTAGAGGAGGGGAGCTGTCCATGTCCTGATGGCCCTCCTTGGACACAGGTTCTTTTATTTCTCTGTAAGGTGGAAGAAGACCCAACACCACGTCGTCTTTTCTTCATTTTATCACAACGCAACACGACTCGATTCGGGCTCCTGAGAGTTTCAGATCTCGTCAGGAAGTGTAGAAAAATATGCAGTCATGAGAATATATAGAGACAATATGATAATGAGAGGCGGGCAGTTATGCCTCCATGCAAATCCCGGAGACAAAGAAATGAACATGTCATCTGACCCGGCGTGGCTGGAAAAAGTTGGGAGTGGTGAGGTGAGACCGGACCACCACTACCCACTATTGTCTTTGGTCTGATCTTTGACGTGATGGCAGGAACACAGATGCTTTAGATAACAGTTAGTCTTTTGATGTCAAACATGCCCTCTGGAGGGGGCCCTAAAAGTAATGGGGGTCGAGGGGCACGAAAGGTGATTGTAATCACAGTGAGCAGTAAATACCTCCAACAGCATTCTACATTCTTTGTTTTCGTGTTTGAACAGAACCAACAACAGAGTGGGGCTAAATAAAATCACAGTAAGGAATAAATTCCTTAACAGCCACCTTATTATTCCTGTAGGGCAGCGGTGGCCAACCAGTCAGAGACAAAGAGCCAATTTTTTTACTGTGTTTCTGCAAAGAGCCACATCATACCCTTCCTCGCATACACGAACACCAACTTCTCACGAACAACACGATCGCGCACGTGCAAACATACACACACACGCGCGCTCGCTCGCACACACTCACGCGGGTGCCCACCAGTTTACTTGCGCACATATGCACGCACACCACGATGAGCAACAGTCGGAACGGGCCGAAAATCAATGAAAGCTAAAGATACAAACAAACAAATCTTTTTTTTCCTACCCATTTCTTCCTCCCACCCCTTGCGGTCGACTTGGGACCAGTTCGCTGGCTCCCGGTCGATTCTGATCGACGTATTGGGCACCCCCGCCTTAAAAGCACGCTGACTAGCTTAGCACTTTGCGCCATTGTTTGCTTTCTCCAGTAGATCAGCAGTTTCTGAAATACTCACACCAGCCCTCCTATCACCAACAACCATGCCACGTTCAAAGCCACTCAAATCACCTTTCTTCCCCATACTGATGCTCGGTTTGAACTGCAGGAGATTGTCTTGACCATGTCGACATGCCTATATATTTCTATATATATAGCTCAGTTGGTAAGGCATCGGTTTGGCGTACGGGAGACGGTGGTTCGAATCCCGCTTGGGGCAAAAATGAGCACATAACACCATCCAGTGTGGGTCCTTGGGCAAGATCCTACCTCATACAATGATGAGAGACAATAAAATGAATGACATGCCGGCTCAGACGTCGCCCGGCCAAACAAGGTCTGCGTCAGCTGCTGGGGAACCAGAGCACCTTGATGAAAAATGGGCTACTGGAACAAAGCGGAGATGGGCGAGATGCGATAACATGGCTCTGTTGGAATGCTACTACT